AGTGCCATGAGCAATATTAGGTGACAGTAATGTTTACAAAGTCTTCTAACCTCTTAAAAGCAATCAAAGTTAACATGTACTGCTTTAAAATATGTGACTCTTGTTTATTTTCATCCACTTAAGTTCAAACTAAATGACGCCAAATTTGGCTCCATGTACAATTTAATGAATATTCAGTGTCCCCCACATGCAAACATATCTAACTGCAAAATGCAGTATTGCACACGTGGCAACTAAATACCCCATTGCATCTCCCCCATTTCGAGGGCAAATGCTGAAAAAACATGTCGTTTCTCAGTTCACCAGGAAAAATTCATGAGAGAAGCAGGTACAGTGCAACGCCATCCCATTCCCCCTGGTGTTGATCTCCTTCACCTAGTAACCATTGTAATAAAATCTCCCAACTGTATTTTCGAACACAATTAGTTTAAGATACTCCACTGGGAGCCACATTATAAGCGTTTAACATATGTAAGAATAATATCCATTTGAAAAAGAAACTGTCAGGATTATATTCTCACTGAAAAAATAACAAGGTGTTTGAAAGAGGTTTGTTCAGTTCTTCAGTGAAAGGATTCAAAACCACTCCTACCTTTGATAACACACTTTTCTATTTATTTCTTAAATGAGTGATCTGAAATATTTACAACCAGACAGTACCTAATTTTAGGTTTTAAGTGCTTTAACAGCTCCATGAAATATGATCAGCAGCTGCAATACAGACTATGGTGAATAAACTCCTTATAAAGGGGGGCCTGTTTTTACTGAATGTTCAGTGTTCTTGCATTTACCTAATAGAAAAAATAAAGATAATGAACAAACATAATAAATACTTGCATTCTTAAATTACTTAATACTTCACTAAGTCTTGGAAGGGATTATGTCTCCTCTTGAATTCTGCATAAAAAGAGTTCAATTCCATTGGGTGAAATAAGTTTAATTTTGCTGTTTGAAAGATAGAATGTGAACTTTCCAACATCCTAAATTTTATAACAATAGTTATGTTTTCCTACCATTCTACCATTCTGAAAATTCTAGATATCTTAATTCTAGTGTGTAAATCTTTAAAATATGAAATATTGAGCCACATAAATATATTTTTAGACACGGCATCAGTCATTTGGAGCTTGCAACAGAGGTTGAAAACATGAAACTGGACACTTTATTTCCCGTGGCTATGTAAAATTTATTTACACCCCAAATCACAATATAAATAAAAAGGAAATTCTTAGGAATGGAGAACTTGCTCTTTTTTTTAACCTGAAGAGGTTATTTAAAAAGGAAAAATAAATTATAGCGAAATGAGAACCTATTCATCTCCCATTTTCCCCTCAAAAAAGAAACTTTCATGCAAAGACAATTTTCTCCCCTCCAGCTTCTATGAATTCTCTAGAATTCAGCATCTGTGTTTTTTTGAATAAGAATACTGATTGTTCTTGAATTGATGTCTTTGCATCCAAATCTTAGGGCTTTAAATTGTTTAAACTGGAACATATGACTTATATAAACATGATCTGTGACTACATACACATGAGAAATTGTTTTTCAAAATAAGATATTCAATTTCTAATAATCAATAAAATAAATATTAACAAAGAAAATTAAGTAAATCTTATTCCAGTTACAATTGTGGAAGAGTCTCTAGTTACGATGGCCTTAAAATGCTCTGGCACACCATTTTCAGGCACTTTACAAGAACAAACAGGCTTTCCAAATCCACATTGCTGTGAGTCCTTCACTTACTAAGGAAGGCCAGGACATATCCTTAATAATCAGAAAGGAACAGTTTTCAGCTAACCTAATTATGCTAATTAGAAAGCTGTTACTGTCAAAGGCTTTAACTTTCCTGTACAACCACTTCTAAAAATTGGTTTAACTTTGAATGACTTATAACTTTTAATCAGGTGGAACAAACTATTTCATGGTTTATAATAACAGTAAAAGCGGGTGTAGTTCTACGTGCACTCAGTACTGTGGCCAGAAGATTCAAGTTCTGACAATCTACTTCCACACAAAACAGTCTGTCTCTTGTTACTTCTGTGTTGTTTTTTTTTTTTAATTTCTTGGGGAGATATCATTTTTTAAAATACACAAACGTCTTTGAATGCAATCTCTTACAACGCATCCTACCACGTATCAAATATTTTGTTTTGGGATTCTCTTCCGGTCTCTTTTCTTAGTTTTTTGTTCTTCAGGTTTACACTTACCCAAACAAATTTTTTTCATGAAAAACAAAAAGTCGATCTTTCTGCTTATAAGCAAGCTCTCCTGGGGAAGGATTATCAAATTCAATTCTTGTCCCGAAGCGGTTTTAAAAATGAAAACAAAAACAATCCAATAAACAAAATATCATTGTCACCTTTCAATTCTGTCAGTCACTTAAGCCTACATGGAACTTTAGAAGCTGTGGATGGGGAACCCGCAGTGGCGAAAAACCCCCAGGACCCCCAGCTATGTCCCACAGGAGCCCGCACTGAAACCGACCAACGCCCGAGGGCGCAAAAAAGTGGCTGCAGAGGAGGCAAGGAACAAAATGCCATATTCGAGAAGATATATTTCGCTCCAACAATTACGTTGATCCCAGGGTGCCAAGCCAAAAGGGGTGAGGGAGAAAGAAAACTGTTAAGTATGAGCTCTTAATGTGAAACCTAACCTGTTGGTTCTCCTAGGTATCAGATTTTGGCAGTGTCTGTAATGACAGCCAGGAAAGCAAATTAATGGCCATCGGCCCACTGGGTTTGAACACGAGACTCCTGTTACCTCCTCACAGATCAAGCACACAACACACACGCACACGGAGGTGCTCCACGTGGAACCGCCCTGAAACCAAAACACACGCCCGGGCGCTATGCTGCACCTTCCTCCACTGCGCTCAGGGGGAGATGCATGAATGACTCTGCGGGCTCCGAGGTGGCAGGCCAACACCGCCCTCCCCGCACATTCCCTCCGCACGCGCAAACCCCCTGAGCCTTCAGAGCAAGAGGGAAGGAAGGGTGGTGGCGGCGAGGGGAGACACTGCCACCCCAGCTAGCCCAGAGACGGCGCAAATTAAACTGCGCTCGGGTTTCCTCACCGCTCTGCTGCGGGACTCGGTCCCCAAACTCCCTAACCGCCCAGAGCTGTCCCCTGTCTTGGCTACAAAGAAAGAAAAGTCTCCCAAGTGCTACCAAAGAAAGTCTGGGTTGCCGCGTGGGGCAGAGTAAAACGAGCACACCCGCCGCCCCCTCACAAACCCACTTCACGCTAAAAAAGCGAACTGTGGCCAGTCCCACCGCCTCTTCAGCAGCAGCAAGCAGGCTTTGCAAAGAGAGAAAACCTGCTCTCCCCAACTAGGTCCCTGCGTTTGGAGAAGTTACAACTCCTCCAAGGCATCCTCGCCCCGAGCCAATGAACGCCTCTGACGAGACGCCTCTAAATTCACGGACCCTGGCAAACTGCAGGAGTTATTCGGTCCACGCCGCATTTAAAAAAAAAATATTAAAGATAGCCGCAATGTAACAGCCGGTCAGTGCCTGAACATAAGAGCATAAGCACTGAACACGCACCCGGCATCCTGAAAACCCAGGCGCCTGGGGCCCTCCACGGGACCCTGGGTCAGCATCCCCGCGCCTGGGCCATCTAGCGGGAAGGCGTCATCACAAAGTCATAAATGTCACGGGAAGGATGGAGGGGAGACCCCGGCGCGCGCGCCTCTGCGAGGCGGGGGCGGGGAGCAGGTAGGAGCCGCAGCGAACTCCGTTCCGCGCCGGCTTGTCGCAGCCCGGCGGGGGACAGGCCGGATCCGAAGGGAAACTTGGGGCGCGGGGGCGTCCTCCAGGACAGAGCGCGCCACTGCAGTCCGAGCTGTCCGGGCCCTCCGGCGTAGGACACCAAGCCTCGAGCGCCCTCGGGAACTCTGGCGCCCAGGCACCTTCCCGCGGCGCGTCCCTGGTCCCAGCGCTTCGGTACTCCCGGCGGAGCCGCGCGCACTCACGAGGGAAAGTGTCCGAGGGCTCCGCCAAAATCCAGGCCCCCTGGGCTTCTAGAAGGAGGCTGGAAGAAAGGGGGGGGACACTCACCTCCCGTCTCCCAGACCGCCTCGAAGTCCCGAAGTTCAAGTGTGCGTCCCCGCTGCGGCTCGGTGCGTCGGTATTTATTCTCGTTCCTTCCAGTGTCGAAGTTTCCTCTTCGCGCTGTGCCTCTGGTGAAAACAGGACATCCCCTTCGGCCACCCCCCCAACAAATAGCGTACACAAGTGGGGGAGAAACGGGGCGGGGGAGAAGCCGGCTCCGAAGGGGGGAGGACAGGAGAGAGGAGCCAAAACCCCGCACTGACGACGCGGGGGGTAAAAGAGAAGAAAAAAGCTGAGGAGATTGCGCGCTCCGCCGCCGCACTCGTCACTCCAAGCGCTCCCCAAAGCCCTTTCCCCCTCTCGCAGGGAGCGACAACTTCACGCGGACAGGATGGAAGTTTTGCGCGGAAGCCGGGAGCGGCCGGAGCGTGCGCCGCGCGGCGGGCAGCCTCGCACTTGCGCGCGGAGTCGGAGGCGGGAGGGGGCGACGTCGCCGGAGGCCACTGCAGGCTCGGGCGGCCGCCGGGGTCGCAAGGGACGGCGGCGCGTGGGAGACTGAACGCTTTTTATTCGACCTCGGGTGACAGCCTGTTGACATCGTTTGAGGTCTCGCGTGGGGACCTCCCGGGGCCCCGCGGCCCTGGGCGTCCCGGGGTGGCGCCGCGATAATCTCCGCGCCGCCCCCACCCCGCCCCCACCCAGCCTGGCCAGGTCCTGTGCGGCCTCCCGCCTGAGGGGGAGGGACCGGTGGCCGAACTCCCCTCCCTGAGCGAAGGGACGCTGTCTGTCTGTCCCCACCTGCTTTGGGGGGCAGCCCCCTGGCGTTGCCAGTAATTCCCCCGCTACCCTATTGCCGGGTGTGGGCCACCGCGGGCCCCCTGCCGGCCTCCTTGCCACTTACCCCAGGGGAGCAACTGCAGGGACTTCACCTCTTGCAACAACGTGAAACAAAAACCAACCCACGCCAGACTGGGGCGCTTTCTGGGCCTGGAGGAAACACCCTTTTCCGTGGAGATGTGCGCCTTGAGGAGTAAGCAGTCTGCGGATAGGCTGTGCTGAGGAGGGCCTGGGCCCCTTCCAGGGCCGGGCGCAGGTATAGGCATCCCTCCCAGACGCCCAAAGGTCAGGCAGCAACGACTGACTTCCAAGGCGGCGTCAGAGCTGCCTCAGGCACATTGCTGAAATGACATTTCGTTTTGTGCCTTCTGCGCTCACATTATTAACCTACATAGGTTTTCGTGATCCATAGGCACGTGCGTGTAGGGGAACCAGGGCTATAGCAAAGTGTACAGCATCAGCAACCCGTGCATTTCTCATCCCTTTAGTCACCTCTTCCTAAAACCTACTGTCTATTTTAGCAGCATCCTTAATTGTCACATTGATAGTAAGTTTCGATTTACTGAGGATTTACTGAGTGTTGGTCTTACGGGTCACTTGCAGTCCATTTGAGCTCATCTCATTTGCATGACCACCCTAGAAAGGTCGCCATTGTTAACCCTGTATTAAAGATGAGGGAACTGAAACCCCCAAAATCCAATGTTCCCAAAGACAAACCCAATGGTCTCCAGTCACAAGTTCAGGACCCCTCAAGCAGCCCCCACATTGCCCTAGGGTGGTGTAAGAGACACCAAATTGTTCCCTTCCAAAGAAAATTTAGCTCTAACACGTAAGCAACTAAATTAAATTCTGAAAATTGTCGGAAAGAAGTTTCTTCCTCTTCTGCTTTGCGATCTGATATAACTGTCTTGAGCACTGTCAAGTTCAAAAGCAAAACCAACGAAAAACGTGTATAGCTGCGACTTACTTGAGCTTCTTAATGAGCGAGGCATTATGTACCATGATTAAGAAGCAGTGCAAAAGACAAGGTTGTAAATTTCAACTGGTTAAGGTACTCATCGCTACTCTCATTACTTACTGTGTGTTCTTTCCTGCAGATTTATTTTGGAGGGTGTCGGCACTGCCAGGCCTAAGTTTGACTTTTCTGAATCTTGGGTAGAAAGGGTTCTGAGGGTGGTTTTGGCATGAAAGGGTTTTGGATAATGGCCCACAGCATACCCCAGCCTTAAGAGGAACGCCAGGGAATATACACTTAAGAGTAAACCATCAATGAGCAGATTTAATTAATTTCACAAAGCTTACTTTCTCCATTTTGCCTGTGAGAAAGCTAACGGCTCAGAATGCTTAAGTATGCTGCTAACCAGCAGACCCGAGGTTCAAACCAGACTTGTGATCTCTAAGCCCACTCTCTTAGCAGTCGTCAGCAGAGAAGTAGGAATTCTTAATATGGTGGATGTGCCACCAAGGCCAAATATGCATTTTCGGTGTTTGTGAATCATTCGGTGTCTAAGAATGCTCTGTGGCTATAGCAACTATTATGTAAGAACTACGTACAATGTTGGATTTAAAACTCCTCAAAAGAGTTCGTATTTTTAAATTTCATTTTGGAGCCAAGCATTGTGTGTTAGTTTTACCTCTAAACAAATGTGGGAAAATGTATAATTGGAATAAAATCAAAATTCATACTTTAGTACAATATATTGTTAACATAAATATAGTATTTTAGCACGTTTCTTTGCCCCGTTCTAAAAATCAGATTTTCAGCATATTGACCTTGCTTTCTAGGATTACTTTGCTCCTGCCTAATTTTTTAAACATCAACATACAAATACATTTACAGAAGCTACCCTATAAACCTTGAATTATATGACAATATTAGTTATTCAACTTCTTAGTAATTAGTAACTCAACTTCTAATGGTTGTCTTAAAATACATGTATCACATGGATACCACTGTCATATTTTCGGTCCACATTTGAAATAAGTTGAACAGTTGACATTAAGGCTATATAACTAAAAACATATTGTTTTTTTAAAGAAAGTATTATTTGCAGCATTTCTATTGAATTATCACATTTCTAATTATTATCATATCATCTGCAATATTATTGAATTAATAGGTATTGTTTATCTCATAAGAAGACTTTTTATTGTCATCATCAATGGAAATCCAACCTAATTTGCCATGATTAGAAGATGACCTGCAAGTGAGTCTATGTTACAGAAATAAAACTGATTTCTCCTATATCACCTAAAATTGTCTTACTCAACAGTGTGAGAAACATTGCCTTATGGGAACTATACCCCATGAGTCCCCAGAGACTCCAAATATTTCCATTTCTGGAGAGAAATATCAAATCTAAGATACTTTTATGTATTACTTGCTAAATTTTGTGTTTATTAATGATTTCCTTGCCTAAATTATACTTGAAATCTCTGATGCTGAGGTAACTTTTTAACGTTGTTATTTATTTATTTATCTATTTACTTACTATAGCTTGTGGTAAAAGGTAAAGAATTTGTAAGTACACAGTTAAAAAGAGAAGTAGTCTGCAAAGATGTTTCCAGTTATCCATTCCCCTCCCTACTTCTCACCACCTTCCCTCTTCTTTCGTTTTTCAGCTTAACCACTAGAAAAGAAACTTTCCAACTGTTAACAACACGAAGGGGCAGCATCTGTTGGCCCAGTGTGGTACTGCAACAAAGTTCTATAAGACAGTGGTGCAGAGAGGAGCAGCAGAAGAATGCGGGAAATTAAAGCTTCTGCAGGAAATAGGAAATTCTAAAGTCAGCAACCTGCTGCTAAATTCTGGAAGTGATTCAGAAACAGTGGTGAACCGTGCATTGGAATATCCGTAAATGTTCAAGTCAGTCTGAGAAAAGATATTCGTTGGAAGATGGGATAGAAAATGCATGTGGCTTCATAGTGAAAACTGATGGAAATATAAAATACCTTTTATTAGCAATTCCCTTAACCAAACCTCTGGGATGAGATGCCTCTGCCCTTAGCATTTACTATTTGTTTATTTTTCAAATGTGCATGGCACTGTTTTGGCATTCAGTTTTGTTTAAAGTCAAGTTATACAAACAAAGTGCTCCAGGAGCTCATAATCCAAAACACAATTTATATTTTAATTTCATTTAAAGGCAACCTTAAGGGGAAAATCATGCCATCACTTTAGTAAGAACAGATTTTTAGGCTAAAAAATGGAATAAGACACTACACTTACCCGAAAAAAGAAAACAGAAGCCTGGATGTTTGTAGAAATAATCCTATAACAAATCTCTTGAGTACTCTTTTGGTGTACCTTTGAACTCCAGTTAGAAATATACACAATTCTTAAAAAATACAGTCATTGAGTTGTTGCTCAGTAATTCTAAGCCAAACCATTTGAGCTCTGGAAGAATGGAGTTTTAAAGGCCAACCTCAGTCTGAACAAGGTTGAACAGTATTCACATCATCTTCTCCACCAATGACGGACTAGGAGAACAAATGGAAATGATTGCCCAGGGATCTGAAGTCCTGTGCTGTCATTTTTCTAAAATATATAAATAAACACACTTTCTGGGTAATTTTGTGCAGTTAGACCAAGCTTTAAAAGGTTTCTCCTAGCTTGTGAAAGTGATGAAGTCAGATCTACAGGAGACCTGTTGGGTCATTCTCTGCTGTTGGACTCTGCTGAACTTGGTAGAGTCTCTAAAGAGAAGGAAATACACATTCTCTGGGGGGCAGCTTCATTATATTTACTTTTAAATTTTCTTGTGAAACTTCTTTCTGAAGTAAAATCCTTTTCCTACCTTATTATGCAATTCTACTCTGTCTTCCATGTTTACATCCAACCTTCAGATGTTTATACACAGATATCATGCCCACATTTAGTCAACTTTTAGCCATGTTAAACAAATGTAAGGTCTTTTGTTTTTGTTGCAGTAGAGTCTCTGCAAGCGTTCAACCATTGTTTTTGCTTGTCTCTGAGCTATTTCCAGTTACCTAGATATTCATTCTTGTTGGAGATAACCCACAGGGAATTCCAGGTGTGTTCTTATTGGCATTCTAGAATGAGTGCTACTATTTTTTTCTTCTTCTGTGGCAGGCGTTTGGGCTTCATTTGGAATTTCCACCAACTCATGCTGTCATATCCTAACAAACATACTTGCAATTGTTTCCTATATTTTTGCTTCACATGTTTCTCTTGGCAAGCCATACCAAGCCTGACTTCTAAATATACATTTTAAATGATAAGAGTAATCAAATTATGAACAATATCACTCTGTTGACCCTTTGACAATCAACTATTTTAAAATATAAAGATTCAATTATCTAGGTTTCTTTTTTTTTTACCTAACTCTTTATTTTATGTCCTTATGATGCTTATCTGTTTGTGAAAAAAATGTCCACTAGTTATTATTTGAAAGTTCATAAATATGAAGGTACTTCAAACATTTCATGGAAAATGCAATTAAAAGATAAGTTTAGTGGGGGCTAGCATTGTGGCAAATCAGATAAAATCACTGCCTGCAATGATAGTCCATTCCAGGACCAGCTACTCCACTTCTGATTCAGCTCTCTGCTGTGGCCTGGGAAAGCAACAGAAGATGGCCCAAGTGCTTGGGCCCCTGCACCCATGTGGGAGACTAGGAAGAAGTGCATAGCTCCTGACTTCAGTTTGACCCAGCCCCACCTGTTGCAGCCATATGGAGAGTGAACCAGCAAATGCAAGATTTCTCTATCTGACCCTCTCTCTCTATATATAACTCTTCCTCTCAAATAAACAAAATGAACTTTAAGTTTAGGGAGCAGTGGTGGTTGTTAGCTCAGCAATTAAGAGGGATCTGCATCCTACGTTGGAGTACCTGGGTTTAATTTGCTGTTCCAGCTCCTGGTTACAGTAATACAGACCCTCAGAGGCAGCAGGCAGATGGTGGCTCAGTAATAGGGTTTATATCAGTCAAATGGGAGACATGGATTTTGTTCCATCTTCAGCATGGCCCTGTCTTGGCCACAGGGAGAATTTGGAGAGTGAATTGATATAGAGTAGTATTCTATCTCTATGTCTACCTGAACTCTCTCCTTTTCTGTCTAGATTTTTTTTTTTTAAAAAAGGTGTTCATTTTGAATTGAAAAATTTTGAAATCCGTGTGTAATTTTTCCATAATACACATTTCCATGAATTTTTTAAAAAGATTTATTTATTTGAAAGAGTTACGTATAGAGAGGGAAAAATATAGGAAGAGGGAGAAGATGAGAGAGAGATAATGCATGCGTGTAAAAGAGAGAGAGAGTGCTTTTCCATTTACTAGTTCACTCCCAAAAGGGCCACAACTACTAGGGTTTAGCCAAACTGAAGCCAGGCACCAGGAGCTTCATTCAGTTTCCCATGTGGGTGGCAGAGACCCAAGTATTTGATCCATCTTCCACCGCTTTCATGTACCTTCATGTGCAATTATGAATGGTGGAAGGAAGATTTCAAATTTATAGGGAGAAAATACATTGATGTAACATTTTTTTTCATGAACTCATTTGGTATTATCTCTGTTATCCATTTGTCACATAAAATCTTAAAATTAAGACGACTACTAAATTGCAACAATCCACCTGCATTGAATAATTTGAATGAAAACACTACAATACATTATCACTGAAAATTGTAACAAGCACTTTGTAATGTGTGTTCCTTTTATGTTTAATAGCACAAATAGAATAATTTCTCTATACAATGTTTTTTCAATGTTAAACATATTATTCTCAGAACTCCCACACAACATACTTTAAAATGAGTTTCCTTGTTCACCAGCTTCTTTTATTCCATCACCAACCCTCCCACCAAAAGTACTCTACCTGCAATGCATCTGCTTATTGACTCTGCTTGTTCCTAGAGATCTAATTTCCGCTCTTTAAAGGAGACTGAACTCTTTAGGAACACCAATAGTCTCCTAACATCACTTCTTAGTGTTCATCATCTTTACATCAAAAAGCATTTGGTATTACTACAGTGACCTTTTGCTAACTGCTCTTTAAACTTTCCTCTGACTACTGGTACTTAATACCCTACAGAGCTTCCTTTACTCTCAGTAAACTCAGAAATAAACCTAAACACAGGTTGTCCTCCCTCTCTCCAATGTCCTCTAATTCTATAATTTCATGCACTTCCAAAATTGCTTCCTGCACCTCTAAGTAGGTGACTTAAAGTGTCCTTATCAGAATCTTGAGTTTCTTTCCCTGCATGTCCTGTTGGCATCACAAGCTGTCCATTCTGGAAGCTAATTGCATCACCTCATCCTCTCCACCCCTCTTACCAGCTCCTCTTTTTGTCTTAATTGTGTTGAAAAAACCATCTTCATCAAGGCTCAAGACATTGAATTCTCCTTTCACTCTTCTTTCATACTTTTCATATTCAGTAACTCATAGGACAAGTTCATTGTATGTTAGTTACACATTTTGATTATTGCTGCTTTCCCCAGACAAGGTCTGCATCTATTGCCTTCCTTGTAATTGGCATCCCCATATCTAGGCACTTCTCTTCCAATCCATTAGACAGTCATGTGAGTTTTTCCTTTTTCTGTAATACAGTTCTTCTCTCAGTTAAAAATCCCCAGTAGGTTCCAAATGCTTACTTAATAAGGAACAAATGTCTTAACTCAGCACTGGTAACCGGATGTGGCAAGCTGGAACTTTGCATCTACCTTTGCCTCTCATGCATAGCACCTGGTATCCAGTAGACAATTGGTAAATATTTACTAGGAAAAATGATTTGCTTAAATGTAGGATATCCAAATATTCCAGTTTATAATCTGATTTCAGTAGAGCTGAGAACATTCAGTGTGATGGGGAACCTCCTCCTATGTGTGTGATTTAGGGGAATGCCAACTTGTGTAGTCCTTTGTGCAATTTGATAAACCCTCCAAGTCCAAAAACAGCTTCCCTCTTTTGTATTCTACAATTCTGTCTTTTTTAAAAAAAGTAGCAGTGATGAAGTGTTCTGCATGTGTCCTATAACTCAGGATCTATGATGAGCAACTCCAGTCTGTTATATAATTTCCAAAGCAACCTATAAATTTAAAGAAATAGAGATTGGGGCATGTGGGTCAGAAATGGAGCATGAGGACAACCCACTGAGATGGGAACCTACATCCACAGAAGAGAGAAGGCTGCTTTAGGAAAAGGCAGGATAGGGGCTGGCATGTGGCGTAGCAGGTGAGATGCATCCCATATGGGTGTTGGTTCAAGTCCTGGTTGCTCTACTTCCAATCCAGCTCTCTGCTATGGCCTGGGAAGGCATTAGAAGATGACCCAAGTCCTTGGGCCCCTGCACCTGCGTGGGAGACCCAGAAGAAGCTCCTGATGCCTGACTTCAGATCAGCACAGCTCTGGCTGTTGTGGCCATCTAGGGAGTGAACCAGCAGATGGAAGACCTCTCTCTCTCTCTCTCTCTGCCTCTTCTTCTCTCTCTGTGTAACTCTTTCAAATAAAATAAATAAATCTTAAAAGAAGAAAGAGAGAAAGAAAGAGAGAGAGAGGGAGGGAGGGAGAGAGGGAGGGAGGGAATGAAGAAGGGAGAGAAGGAGGGAGGGAGGGAGGGAGAAAGAGAGAGAAAGAGAGAGAGGAAGAGAGAAAGAAAGAAAGAGAAAGAAAGAAAGAGAAAGAAAGAAAGAGAAAGAAAGAGAAAGAAAGAGAAAGAGAAGAAAGAGAAGAAAGAGAAGAAAGAGAAGAAAGAGAAGAAAGAGAAGAAAGGAAAGAAAGAAAGAAAGAAAGAAAGAAAGAAAGAAAGAAAGAAAGAAAGAAAGAAAGAAAGAAAGAAAGAAAGAAAGAAGAGGAAGAATTTGGGTTGGCTACTGCTTTTGATTGCTCTGTACTCACAGTGCCCCCCATGGTGCTGGAAACATTATCAACTTTCATTATTATGATACTGAACTAAATGAACTGATTCCAGCTACCATCCCATGCTAACTTGTTTTTGACTCCAAGTGGGCTGTAGTTAACATCATCTGAAGTGAGGAGATCCCACAAAGCTTTATTTCAATATGAGATGAAATTATGCCCATGAAAAATTTTTTGTCTCTAAAGGGCGAAATGCTTATGTGTGATAAAACCTTAGTGAGGCCTTTGTGCTGTCACTCTTCGAATATTGGAATAGTTAAATGATTGTCGCATTCTTCCCACCAACCTTCAAATATGCAAGTGGTCTAAATTTTAAGTATAGATCCTTTGTCTTCAAAGGATTGAACAAAACTACTTTAAAGATTAATTTTTAAAAATCTATAAACATTCAATTGTCTTCAAATTGATTATATCACCAAACAGTTGTTCATAATTGACAGGACTCAAGCCACCCAGGAAAGCAGTCCCTAAGAATTCAAGGGCCTGGTGGTATTGTTTAATTTTCATCCTGGGATTCAGGACACAAAATTTCTAAAGATCCTCTTACTTCACTGGCAAATCTTTTTCTCAGTCCTCCTAGCCAAGGATCATTTGGGGAATGGTCTGGTGGACTGGGTCCACACTGGAATTTTCTTCTTGCTTGACTGACCACGAGTCTGCTCAGGCCTCAGGCAGCTCCATCTCTCTGACCACT